TTTTCAAATGTAGAGAAGTAAATATGATGGAAACTAAGAGCCCTTTTTCATAAGGTTTCAGGATGACCATGTTCCACTGCAGAAAGAGCCCTCTTAACGCCATCACATTGAAAGAATAAGAGGGCCATCACCTGCCCAGGTAAGGAGACCTTTGCTGGCCAGGTGAGAAACCAACCGCAGGAATTCCCTTCCTGTTCAGCTCCAGCGCCTGCTTTTCCTCACCTTCCGCTCTCCTTGGCAGTGCAACCCTTGTCTCCTTGCAAAGCGCGTTTTTGTTTCACCGTAGAAAAACTCTTGTTCCCTGTTTAACGCCTATCCAAAACTCGCCGGCGAATCAGGTCCCGATTTCCCGCCTCTCAACCCCCAAGCGTATCAGGATCTCTGCCTTTCTCTCGTTCGGGGCCCCTCTTTCTTGGAATCCTTGCAATGAAGACGGTTCTCCTCTGTAGCGGCGTGCTCCTTTCTTTCGCAAAAATTCCACGACAGGTTGCAAAAAAGGGAGAAATCCATCAGGTATTGAAAAAACATCCTTTTGCATCTGATAGCAGGAAGGAATACCAGGATTAACTCAAGGGTGCTGTGAAAAAGAGACAGGAAAGAAAATTAGAATATAGAGTAAAACCTTCAATTGAATATAAATAAGTTCTGTTTGGAGAGTCTGCAGGAGAAACACAGGGTGGGCTTCCCCTCCCCCTCCCTTTGGAGGACCAAGGATTCCTCCCCCATCTTATCTCCAGGGACTCAAAGGGGGGAGTTCAGCCAAAGGGCTGCAAAGGGAGGCTCAGTGTGAACTTGATAAAATGGAATTTGTCCCAAATTGGCTTAATTAATCAATTAATTAAACAAAAGAGGAGGCCTCCCTCCCTGCAGCTATTTCATCTTAACCGAGAAGATGGTGCTCGCATGGTGGGGGCAGGAAAGGAGGGAGCCTGGTGTTACTTTGCTAGAACCTGTGTGAAAGGTCAAAAGGGGGGTCAGGAAGGCCAGCCCAAAAACTTGGGGTGCTCCGTCCCCTTCCCCCAATGACCTGAATGGCCCCCCTCTGGGAGAGGTTTTAGTGTTGTGTGCTGTTTTTGTGCCTAAGTGCACCACATTTTGGACTCCCCTGTGAGGAAAAGCTGCCTCAAACCTTAGAAAAAGATTTGGGGGCTCCAGAAGAGAGAATTAGAAG